ATTGAAATTGAAATTGAAGTACCTTTATTCGTGTTAAATATTTCTTTAAACTTCGTCTTCAAGTATGTTATTTAAATAATCATTTGAACTTTGATATATTAAATCTAGTTGAAAATGTCAACTTAAAAATGAAGACATACAAATCATGTAGAAATCTTTTTCATAATAATAAGACAGCTTTTCTTTATCTTGTCTTTCATCCATCATCATATGAAATTTTCAATTTGATTACACATTCATTTATTAATAATCAAAAAAAAATACTTTAATCAAGAATCACATCTTTCTTTATTAAACAAAAAAATTATCCTTACAAATTAACAGAAAAAAAAAATCTTTATTTTGAGCAATAACAAAATAAAGAAAAAAAAAATTTTTAAAACTAAATTTGTTATTATAACAAAAAAAAAACCTTGATCAAGTTCGAATATTTGTGTAATGAATAATCAACCACCTTTTCGTTTCTTCCGTTTTTGTTCTTTGTTATTTCTAAAATTATAATAAAAAAAAAATTTCAACATATTTATTGAGAATATACCTGTCGAACACTGTTTTAGCATTATAAAAGTTTATATTTTCTTTTAGGTGTTCAATTTCATCATCATCTAGAAAGACAAAAAGAAAACACTTGAATAGTTCTATTAGTTTTGAAAATTTACATATTATATACTTACATCGTAGCTTTAATTGTTCAAAATCATTTAACATATTTTTATTATATATGGCAGTCTTCGACTCACTAAAAATTATAATTGAGATCAATAATAAAATATAGTTTTCTTACTGATAAATTAAAAAAATTTCTTTATTATTGTATATATCAAAATTGACCAATTTCATTGATTCAACATCTGATACAACATCTATAAGATAAAACAAATAATGTCAAATAATTAAAAATAGTTTGTCGAATCATAAATTCCATTCGATCAAACTAATAAATATCATTGTATTTACCATAACCCAAGACAAGCAATCCTTGCACAGGATTCCGGTCCGGATTTCGTCGGAATCCGATAAAAACTGACAAAATCCGACAGAATCCTATCGGATTTTGCACGTGTCCGATCAGATCCGACAGTCGGAATCCGACTCATGGGATTCCGACAAAAATCCGACAAGATACGGACGCAATTATTAGAATCCGACGGAATCCGACCGAGCGAGAATCACCTGGGAATATTTTTCATTTTTAAAATTTAAATTGATTCGATCAATCAAAGCAAACATATAAAATTCTTTCAGTTCGACATCTTGTTGATGTTGATTATTTGATAAACGATTAATAATATCCGACATAATCTGCCAATAATTAATATATATATATTATATTTAGACAAAAGTTTAAAAGCTATTTACCTTTAATGCTTCATCTTCTTGTTTCTTGGACATATGATATTTTATTTTTCCATTTAAAAATATAATTTTATCTTTTATAGTTGTCATATTTAAATTTATTTTATAAATAAAAAAATTGTAATAAATATAATATAAAGCCAATTATGAATCAAAACACCACCACAACTATTTTTTTTAAATAATATATATATATGAATACGTCAATTTATATAATTTGTCGGACGAAAACTAAATAAAGAAATATTCGTGTGAATAGTCATTACAATGACAAAGACTCGAAACAAATAGACAAGAATTACAATTACAAAAAGAGAAATAATCTTATAGGATCAAAAAAATCAATCAATCAGAAAATCGATAGAATAAAAACAACGTTAGAGAGAACAAAAATATGGAGATGTCTGTCATTTACAAGACAAAATTTGACATGAATATCTTAAATATAGGATAGAATGAGAGACACTCTTCATTTTTGTCGATTTTTTTTATTAATTAATACTGACAATTACAAAAACGTTTAGTTGACACTATTCCTCGTTCTGTTGTTTTTCTAATTCAATCCCTGCATGTATTTAGCGGAACTCACATATATTTTTGAAGAAAATGGTGAATGTAAGTTTTAAGTTCAAATTTTGGTGGCTACTCCCTTCCCACCCATCCTCATTACAGACACATAGCAACAGAGAAAGAGAACATTACAGACACCTCCCTCCATTACAGACCTTAGAGACCTTCTATCTTCTCATTATAGATCTAAGTCAGTGCGATGAAAAATCATCAAATACGTTTCTCTACGAAGCACCGATCATATACAGGATAAAAATGAATTTATCAATATGTGATTTTAAAATCACAAATATAAATATTTATTCTTTAAATGATATGTGAATTCATTTATATTAAAATATTATAATCATATTGTAGTTTGTATGTGGTCGTTTCGATTAATAAAGACAACTAAATGTTTTTTTTTTGTTACCATTTTGTGAAAAAAAGCTTGTCAGTGCAGCCCCTTTAGGGGCTAAAATGTGAAACTCACATATATTTTTTAGGTTTATTGTACTAGGTTGGAAATAATATTTTGTCAGGACGTAGGATATCTTAGGTCTGGATTCGAGTATTTCTTGAAAGGATTCGCTCCAGAACACTTTCCAAAGCAGTCAAACAACTTTCCAAGTAGAACTCGACGAGCTCTATCCAACGGTACAATTCATTTTTTTTCTAGCCCCCCTCAAACCAAGAAAATCAAAAAATATCATCAAAAAAATGTATAAAATGCAATCAATTCCGGAAAAACATGTCGCGATTCGCCCACGAGTGCTTTCCAACTAAGCCATTAAGTTTCCAGGTAGATCTCGATGCGCTGTTTCCAACGAACACCTTTGGATCTCAATTCTATGCTTCTTTCCCCTCAAAATGTTCACTTCCGGCCCTGATTCCTATATATCTACACAAAAACCTGTCACGATTCGCCCAGAAGTACTTTTCAAGAATATCAACCAACTTTCCAAGTAGATCTCGATGAGCTCTATCGAATGAACACCTTTGGAGCTCGATTCCATGCTTATTTCCCCCTGAAATGGTCATTTCCAGGCCTCGTTCCCATATATCTGCCAAAACGCCTGTGACGATTCACCCAGGAGCACTTTCCAAGTATATGAACCAACTTTCCAAGTAGATCTCGATGAGCTCTATCGAATAGACATCTTTGGAGCTCGATTGCATGCTTCTTTCCCCCTAAAAAAGCCATTTCTGGGCCCCGATTCCTATATTTCTATCAAAAAACCTATGAGGATTCGTCCAGGAGTACTTTCCAAGTGTATCAACCAACTTTCCAAGTACATTTGGAAGAGCTCTATCGAATGGACATCTTTGGAGCTCAATTAGATGCTTCTTTCTTCCGAAAACAGCCATTTCAGGGGCACAATTACTAGATTTCGAGAAAAATGCCAGTGACGATTCGCCTAGCAGTACTTTCCAAGTATATCAACCAACTTTCCAAGTAGATCTCGACGAGCTCTATCGAATAGACACATTTGGAGCTCGACTCGATGCTTCTTTTCTCTCAAAATGGCCATGCCTGCGCCGGATTCCTAGTGTTCTGTGAAAAAGCCTGTGACGATTCGCCTAGAAGTTCTTTCCAAGCATACGATCCAACTTTCGAAGTAGATCTTGACGAGTTCTATCAAATGGGTACCTTTGGAGCTCGATTCGATGCTTCTTTTCTCTCAAAATGGCCATTCCTGGGCCCGATTCCTAGATTTCTGCGGAAATGCCTCTCA